TCGTAGATTTTGGGATGTCTCTCAAAATGTTGACAACTCGTGAGTTCCTCGCCATATACTCACGAAATTTCGTGAACTGTCAAAATTTGACTCACAATGCGAATTTATTTAAATAAGACGATTCTTTGCCATAGCTTTAAATGGGGGGATCTCGATAGTTTATCATTCACGCGTCGCCATCGAATGATACATAAGTTTTACGCAAATCGTATATTAAGGGAACAACTGCAGACATTCGTGACAGGCTCAAATTGATTGGTATGTGATTTCCGTGGAGCAGATCTGCTTTCAACATTATCCCTCATATGCATATGCAATGGATCCATTATTTTTCTGATAAAATTATTTTGAAATTTTGTCTCGAGACATTTAAAAATCGTGTTTCACATCTACCTCCAAATTCTGAAAGTTAGTTGATTGGCCCACTTTTATTACTGGTCTTAAACGTTTTAAGACTGTAATCAAACCATTTTTACTTTCAATTCACTTTTTATTTTATTTCCCCGGGTATAAAATTCAAGACAGTGGATCCTTGTAAATCTCATACTTAGACTTTTTAGGGAAAAATAAACCGGGGCAGAAATATCGATGGTGAACTGCATTAATACGTCTCTCGGTTTGCGGAATTGCAAACTTCCTGTCATACTTTATTCTCAGAAAACCACTGAACGTCATTTACCTGAAATTTCATTATCTTTGTAAAGAATATTCTGTGAATACTTTAAGCCGTGATGTTGTATTGGTTCGATATCATTTTGAATAAGAGAATGGCAGCAGAGATTTCGAAACATCGCAACCAAGATACGCATATTTGCAGTTTCCCTGTCGATATGCTGAGAACAGTGGATTTTTTACCTAACTGTGAAATTTCCCAATAATCAAGAAATAATCATGGCTGGATTTTGACTGAATTTTAAATCAGCCACCAACGGTTCAATGACGAGCCGTTCATAATTTTTATTATGTGGTGGTGAACTAAAAAAATTAGATACATACTCACAAAAAAACAAGCAATTTTTCCTTTTTACATTTATTTGAACTCACGCGTAGGACTTCAAATTGCATTTCATTCTTTCGGTTTATGCATATTTATAAGAGAAGTTCCCACGAAAAACAACATAATTTATGTTTATCTTCCAGCACTCTTTCTAATGTTATTTTCTTAATTCCGCTTAGTCACGAACATAGGTTAAACTTTCTGAAGCAGCAGCCCGTGACAATGGTGCTATCAAAGACATAGGAGAAAAATGGGAATCGAGGTTAAATAGAACACATAAAAATCTGAGACTTTTCGGCTCAAAACTGAGCCATTTTCATTCGGAAGAATAAAATTAAAATATAAAAATTCCAAATAGAATGTGTATTTCCAAATAGATATAGTCTGCAGGTTTCTATTTAGAATTTTTATATTTTATTTTTATTCTTCTGACTGAAAATGGCTCAGTTTTGAGCCAAAACGTCTCAGATTTGTAAGTATATTTTTTAGCCTTGTTTCCCGTTTTTCCTCCTATGTTTTTAATATTAGTCACGAACTTGGTTCCTCGCAATTATCACAACCAACCAGGGAAAGTCCATTCTTGGATACATTTTTTACTAAAATTTTGCACTTGGAGAGGTCCAACGCCTCATTGTCTTCAGCCAATGGTAGAGGGAGGGCAATATGCCAAAAAAAAGTGAAAAAAGTGAATATCCAAAATTATGCGAAAAACTTACCGATAAGGGAAGGAATCTATGGGTGATATTTTCGATGTCCCGACACTTCACTCTGCAATTTGCTAAAGACGTGGTTGAAATCACTTCAATTTTCGGGCTTGATGACTAACCTATAACTTCCAAAACTGGAGTGAATCAGTCTGATAGTGTCCGCAAAAAATTGCCGGTCCACTCGATGATGAATCGAAGACGACCGTAATCTTCTTAATCAAGGACGGAGAGGGTGGGCTGCAGGTTATAAATCTCGATCGACGGCACCCAGGAAGCTGATCTGCGAAGCGCCACCAGGTAATCCGGTCCTTGGAGATGTTTATAGTGCATTAGTGCACGTAGACATTACGTTGCTCTGACTCACCGAAAGGGTTCATCTCCGTTTTCACGTGAGTCATGGAAAGCATGGAGTTGTATGGACTAGAGGGCTCAACTCTAACCTAAGTTCATTCGTTAGAGCGACAACAATAGAATTCCTCAACTAACGCGTGGTTCCCCACGTAATTCACATCCCTGAACTGTTTATTTATTCTACGTTTTTTGAGGCTAAAAAAAGCACAGCAATTATTAATAGTAACTAACATACTGGGGAAAAAAACACATTGGATCTAGACTCCAGACTCTTAAAAACATCGAAAAGAAAAAATACTCTTGATTCAATCGGAGTTTTGCTTAAATCAAGAACCAAGCCTCTTAATTTAAGCGGATTTCCTTTTTGACTTAAGCAAAAATCTGATTGAATCAAGAGTATTTTTCCTTGTCAATGTTTTCAAGAATGTGGACTCTAGATCCAATGTGTGTTTTTTTTCCCAGTGTAGTAACAAACATTTTAATGCCAAGAAAACTTTGAGACCTCGCAAATTGTACCGAGGGGAATTTTGCATGCTTATATCTAGTTCATTTTCGACCGATTGACTTGCAAAATACAAATAATGTTGCCAATTTACCCAGAGGAGGCTTTTCGGCTTTTTTCAATATTTAGAAATTTGCGAGCATCTAATAAATCAATTTAATCAGGCAACAACGATGCAAGTGCTTGATACCTCAACCGCTTACGAAGTTATTACTGCATTATGAAACACATTAGGGACAGTTTTCTCACGTAAAAAGTCTTTTGTTGTGGACACGAATCATAAATTGATCAAAATTTGGTATCCCCTTTGAAGAGATCACCTGAATTTAGATTAAAATCCGTGAGTTTGCCGTCAATGTAGCACCGATTGAAATAACTTGCAACTGAACGGTAAAATCATTGCTACTACATCGGAGTGTTGTGTATGTTGCCTATCTGCCGATTGAAGAAACGTTTCTTATTGACTTGTGTCGGCATAAAAGTGAAATAAGTTGTCTAACGCTCTCTACGTTTTCTGCCAGGAGGGGGGGGGGCAAATCCAGAGCCCTCTTAGGCAACCTATCATCTGTCATCCTTTGCAAATGCCCATACCAGACGATCTAGTTCATGAAAATCGCGTCATTATCACCGGGCAAATATACTCGCAAGTCAAAATTCTCTGCCGGTTTTGTGACCCATTCTCACCCTGCTTAGTCCACCCCTATCGAACTCATTTTATTTATGTCATCCAGTGGCGTGAAGTGGATCGAGTCAATTAGAGAGATCGGACTTGAAATTGTTGACAAAAACTGCAAATTTTGATATTAATTTCGTCACATTTCAAGTTCAAGGGGTGCTCCTAGTAGAAAATTCCACGAGAAAACAAATAGTATCGCTTTCAGAACCTCAACGTTTTGTATAAACGGAGTTATAAGCGTTTAAAGTTTCCAAATTTTGTCCGACCTCTCCTATTGAGTCATTCTACTGTAAGGCGTGGTTTGCGATTTATCGACTGATCTGCCATTTCACCCAACAGAAAAGGATCGATAAAAGGAGTGTTCGCAACGAACACTTCTAAAATCGATTTTTCACATGTTTCAAAGGGGAAATATCGATGATTGATCATATATAAACTGCTTTGCTGGAATTTTTCCACGAAGAAAATCTTTGGAAAAAAATTTATTGTAATCAGAGTTCAGACTCTGAAAAAAGACAACAAAAAATACGCTTTGATTCAATCAGATTTTTGCTTAAATTAATTAAGAGCCAAGCCCAGGGTCGGACTGGCTCGCATCTGAGGGCGCAGAAGCTTGGCTGATTAAAGGGGCGTAATGTGATATTTCCTGATGTGGCATCCCCTTCGTGGAGAGGGGTTCAGAAAATTTTGGCAAAGCAGCACAAGTTTACGCTATTTTTAGGTTCGAAGTTTATTAATCGTACAGAGTAAAAATAATTGTAATTAGAAAATGGGTGGTTTTTATACGAAGATTAAGAATAAACAAGTGGTACGGAATATACGAAAATAATATTAACTATGCAAAACGATAATCCGGGTATCGAAACTCGGCTGTTTTTGAAAACGCCTTCAAATGCGGCGTAATACCTCACGCATTCCGGAGAGTTCAAATAGTTGTATCATTGCGCCGTAAGAATGTGACGGAAGATTACAATTGAAATAGCCTTCATGCACGCTGGCCTTTTCGATGTCCGTTCCCATTTTTGCAGTCATGAATGCATAGCTTAAGTGCGCTTCAGCTAAAATTGTATTCAGCAAATGGGTAGTTTTTATACGAGGATTAAGAATAAACAAGTGGTATGGAATATAACAAAATAATATGAACTATGCAAAACGATAATTCGGGTATCGGAAATTGGCTGTTTTTGAAAACGCCTTCAAATGCGGCGTGATACCTCACGCATTCCGGAGAGTTCAAATAGTTGTATCATTGCGCCGTAAGAATGTGACGGAAGATTACAATTGAAATAGCCATTATGCCCGCTGGCCTTTTCAATTTCCGTTCACATTTTTGCAGTCATGAATGCATAGCTTACGTGCGCTTCAGCTAGAATTGTATTTAGCAAATGGGTGGTTTTTATACGAGGATTAAGAAGAGAGGAGATTAAGAGAAGATTAAGGAATTGACTCAATCAGAATCTAGCTTAAATCAAGAACCAAGCCTCTTAATTTAAGCGGATTTCGTTTTGATTCAAGCAAAAATCCGATTGAATCAATAGTATTGTTCTTGTCAATGTTTTCAAGAGTCTGGTCTCTAGATCCAATGTGTTTTTTTCCAGTGAACGATTGATTATTCATGATTTTCCGAGGCTCTCCCTTGACTTTATTCTCGGCTTTTTACATACGCAAAACCTCAATAATCGATTTTTTCCACGCTTCAAATGAGGAAATATCGATGATGGATCATTGTCGCCTGGCCACTGATACGATCTCTCATCCTGTTGGCAGGTACATCCGGCTGTTGACGGGCGTGCTGGAGTGGCAGAAGGCGCAGGAGGCGTCGATCCAGAACAACAACAACGACGACTCGGTCTGCAACCCGTACCGGAGCTGCTCGGCGCCCTCTCTGGCGGCGCGCCCGGGCAGCAACGGGGTGCGGCGCCCCAAACGGCGCTTCCCGGGCCCGTACTCCATGCCCCCGGCCCCGGGGCCCTGTCCCCGCGAGCCCCCCGCACACCCCTCCGCCCTCAAGAGTCTCTCCGTCCTCACGACCGCCGTCAAGATAGAGGACGAGTCCGGCGCCATCGTCCTCAAGAATGGAGCCCTTCTGGCTCGCCAGGAAGAAGGATGACGTCTGAGCGTATTTCCAACTCTCATCTCCGGCCCGATTCTTGAAATTTATAGATATCGCAGGCAAATAATGAAATCAGGCATTCCCTAGAAGCAGAGCTTAATTCAATATAAACGAAGTATAACCGTTATATAAAGAGCGTATTTACATGAAGAATGTATAATCAAAGTATAACGGTTATATAAAATATATATATAATGTTGGCGCCGCTAGCGTCACCAATATTTAGCCTTCATTCCGTCAGCTAGGCAAGCCACCCGCATCTCATGTCGCGCCGCGCGCCTAGTTCCGCCGCGGCCCGCCCGATCGCGCTGCGGGCTCTTTATTCGCCCCTCCGGCTTTCCTTTAGATATTTGAATTCTTTTCTTTATTATTTTGTCTGTTTCAATATGTAAAAGTCATCTTTGATTACTTCTCTCATAAATCCTAAATTATAATACTCACCGGCGCCTTCCTTCACAACCTTTTCTCAACTCAATCCACGCGTCCGCGTAATTCCTTTCCAAATCTAGTTTGACCGGTTGGCCCGTGTGCCGTATCTAAATAATGCATCACCTACCACTCTTTGGTAGCGTCTATGGGTATGTTCATTCGCCCCGCATACGTCTTTCATGCGCCTTAACCTTTCTTCCTAAAGCAGTTACGTCTTTTCATTCTACTAAGTGAGTATGAACTCTAAATTCACCATCTTTACTCGATCTTTTCCAATAATAATAACTTCATGTCAAGTTCCGGCCTTCTGCCAATAAATAATTCCTTTCGGTCTCTAAATTCATTCGCGTTACTCGTGTCCGGACACGATTGCCTGCGGTCCGGGTGCCGCGGATGAATTCTTCCAAATTTCAATAAAGTAAATGTTCGTCTCTCTCTTTAATTAGCTTCCATCGCGCTACTCGTGACCGGTCACGATTGCCTACGGTCCGGGTGCCGTGGACGACCCTTTCGGCTAATCTTTCTAGAAGACCTTCATTAAACTTTCATATAAAGAGGGTATTTATATAAAAAATGTATATTGAAGTATAACGGTTATATAAAACATTTTACAAATACATTTCATATAAACTAATTATAAAGGTTATTCACGCAATTTATAAAATTATTTGATAAATAACGGTTACACGACGGCGGTTTCCTTTGAACATCCCGTTACTTAACCGTTATATAACGGTTATATGAGTGGTATACTTTCGTTAAATTTTTTTTATATAAATCTGCTACTAGGGTTTTGTTAAATGCCTAGGCAGATATCTAAATATTGATTGCCTACAAAATTTTGTGAATTTATGGTGGAGAGCTCACGAGTTTTCAATATTCGTGGAAAAATATCTCATCAAAATTACAAACTCTTTTCGTCTCTTCCCCTTAAATTGCTTCTCATATTTTTAAATATTGAAATTCTATAAAAATGCTGTATTCTCTGACATGCTGAAAATTTCAAGATAATTGTCCACTCAGGAGCTAAAAATCGTTTAAAATACTATTTTGTGATGCAAATGTTTACTGGGAATTTTTTCTTACGGGGTCAATTAATTATTTTGTCTAAAATTAGGAAAAGAATCAGAATTTTAATCTTAGCTATAATATTTGACTATTTGCCTCGGCATTTGACAAAATGCCTGATTTTACTATTTGCCTGCGACATAGACAAAGCAATAGATATCGCAGGCAAATAGTTAAATCAGGCATTTTGTCAAATGCCTAGCAGGTAGTCAAATTTTAACTGTCTACAAAATTTTGTGAATTTATGGCGAAGAGCTCACGATTTTTCACTATTTTTGGGGAAATAACTCATCAAACCTACGAACTCTTTTTGTCTCTTCCTCTTCAATTGCCTCTCATATTTTTAATAGTTGAAATTCCAAAAATTTTGTATGTTACGGCGTGCTTAAAATTTCAAGATCAGTGTCTCTTCGGGAGCTAAAAATTGTTTAAACTACTATTGTGTGTGTAAATTTTTACTGACAAGGGGAGCTTCCCAAGTGTAACCGGAATTTCGAGTTGAAATTTTGCATGAAGATACTAGAGATGATTTTAGGGATGCCGTGTTTTTTCGTTTTTTCGAATGGGGTCGGGAAAGCCCTCAAAAAAGGGGCTAAAGATGCGGAAAAAACGCGTGCGCTAGCGGCACAAGGTAGACGTAGGTGATAGAGGCTCTCCATCCTTATCAGTACCGCATGGCCAAACGGTAGCGCGCTCGCCTCGCAGGCGG